CATGATGCAAAGCAAAATATGTTACTTCGTTTTTTTATAGGAAATATGTAAAATTTGACTTAGTTTTATCGGGAGTGGATATTTTTGATCACTCGATCGCTTCAGTAAAAAACACGGTCCGCCATGATGTTTGTGACGTATAATTCCATTAACCAATCAGAATGCCGCATGGTAATGACGGTAGAATCCGAAGTTTTCCAAATGGTAGTGATTGTAAAAATTACATTGTGGAAATAAAGCAATGTCGCACGACGTGTGGACATCGATTTCAGTTGAAAACTGCATGATGGTGATCGAAAGAGGTGATTAGCAATTTTTAAAAGGTAAAATAGGTCTTGAAAGAAGAGTTTTTACATGAATTGCGAATGATAACAGTTTAAATGTATTTTACCAAATCAGGCAATAAACACGTTGATTTTTTTCTTGAGTAGCGTAAACTGTCAGATCGTGAACTCCGCTTTGACCACGTTATATCAAGGTGAAATTGATTTTGAAAGAATTTTACCTTTCAATCTAAAGACTGACACAGTTGGAGACACTTTCGCAGAAAGTATTTACTTACAAACAAAGAGGTGCTAATTTCACAAAATTGACTAGCCGCTACGTATCGTGCGACTAGGTCTATTGTTTACAAATTATAATCCATGACTGAAAGGATGCGTGTCGGTTGGTACATAATTATAATAACAATTGGACAATTGTCCTGGTCGGAAGCATTTCTGTGGTGGTCGTTAATTTTGAGTGCCGGTCGGGGCCGACCACCGCCGACCAGTGTGGCGAGATCCCTGCATGTAGAAGGGGGCACCAACAGATCTATGATCTGATCTATAAACCGACCTCTAACTGAACTATAAAAGGAAAAACTAATTGATGTATAATACAACTCTTGATGCTGCAAACTATTGTTCACATTATTCTGATAAATAGCTGATACAAAAATTTTGTAGCCAAGCCAGAAAAAATAGTAAAATGAATCAAGTTATTGGAATAGAATTGAATGGGACATTCATGTAAAAATACTCACTGACCTTTAGAATGTCTAAAACCTCACAACCTTTTGTTTGTGATACATTTGGATCATCATAAAATTTTCGCAACTGTCTCTGCAACCAAAATGCATCAATATCTCGGGGATGGAGTGACTTCTTCTTTTCGGTAAAACTGTCATCCCCACCTATCAACTGAATGTGAAAAAAAAATGATAAATATAAGTAGCAGACACATTTACGAATAGCAGACAAAGACATATGTAAAGCAATGCAAAGCCATTTAAAGAAAGGCAAAGACACTTAAAGCCACGCAAGGCCATGTTAAGCCATGCAAAACTACACGTACAAAAAGCCATTTTATAGTCGTTACATGTATAATAAAACTTCAAAGGAAACTTGTACAAATTGTAATTGTTTAAATAGTTCATTAATAAAGTTAACAAGCAGTTATGTCGGCTTGTTAGCAATGC